ATTCGTATTGAGCATCCCCAAATACCTCGAAAAGGATACCTAAATAGCATTTTTTTAAATTCGGGTCCGCCATCTTGGATTTACAAATACGTGCTATATTCGTAATGAGCACCCCCAAATTTCTCGAAAACGATACCAAACTTGCCATTATTCGAAAAATCGCGCCCTCCATCTTGGATTTAGAAATGAGTGCCATATTCGTAATGAACATCCCCAAATACCTCGAAAAGGATACCCATATTACATTTTTTTTAAATCGTGTCCGCCATCTTGGATTTAGAAATAAGTGCTATATTCGTAATGAGCACCCCCATATACCCCGTCAACGATACCCAGAATCAAAATCAAAATAATCTTTATTTCATAGGTGCATTATTACACTAGAAATCGTCACATTGGTTAAACTCTACCGCTCATTCGTAAGGCAGATTCCCCCGAGAAGTATGAGCAAGAAACTCTAGGGATTGCTCTTTGTAAACAACATTTGTACGCATTTAACTTGCAGAAATGGAGGTCAAATGCACACATTAGAATGTAATATGCAAATAAATAAATAAATAAATAAATTAAAAAAAATCTGCAGCCATCGCGATATTGCCTATTCTCAAAAAATTACGTAATATAATTATTTTGAAACAGAATAGCAAAATTGGGAGAAAGAAATCCGTTACTTTGCAACATTTTCGTGTCTTGTTGCAACGAAATTAATTTTCGGTTTTAGTGAATATTTATATAAAAATACAAGTTGAAACGCGTTACGTCCTTGTGGAATGTGATATTAGTATCTATCTATTTTATGTTTGTCTGACGTATTTTTACACTCATTTACCGCACATTTTTAGCTAAAATTCTGGAGCTGTTCGCGGTGCAAGTTAACCTTGAGCACTGAAGGCCCGCCCGCTCGTGTGGGCCCATTGGGAGCGCTTCAATTTGCCTCACTTAGCGTGTGCGGACTAGATTTCTATGCTTTATTAGTCTAAGATACATATATTATGATTACAGGCGAATGTTCGCCTGTGAAGGACGTATTTGTAATGTAATGCCATGTAATGGAGAATGTTATGTACACCGATTGATTCTGTGACATTTCACTAGATGGTGACATTAAATAATGCTGACTGACAAATAACTCTTTATACTTATGACAAATAAAATAATTTCAAAAAAGAAACGTTTCTGAATTTTGCAATAATTTATGATGAAAAAAAAAATTGGTTAACTTTCAAAAAAATTTCAAACAATACAAATTTTTAAGAATAAATTCACGAAAATTGGTTTAAAAGAATATCTTTTTAGGATTTATTTAGCGTGAATTATTTAAACTTACATTGCCATTGGCGGAATCATCGTTTGTATTGATGGACCTTATATTATAAAGAAGAAAAATATTGGAAAAATATTTATTTATCTTAACAGTATGATTTATTCAAAATGGAAATTTTTCAACATTAGCCGCGTACTAACACTTATAATAACACTGCTAATGTTAACCAACGAATGGGCCATCTTCAATAATTTTATATTTACATTTTTTTATGATCATTGGCTATCTTAAAATTTCATAGTCAGTGTAGTCAGTAGTTATCCCAGTCAATATATATCGTTCATGAGTTTACAGTGACGGTAGTCGCAAGCGTAGAATATAATATGAAAATAATGCTGAGCAGGGTCAACAGCTCGTTGATTGACACTATAAAAAATGCAACTCGGAAATGCAAGGCGTTTTTTATAAGAACGGTCCAAAGCATTAAGCTTGATGTATGCACTGTACAATTTACCACACAAAATTGTCAAATAAATGTGGTTTCAATATTATTTTCGCTAATAACATTTGATTTATTAAATTAAATCTATAATAAATTAATAATAAAAAAATATTAATAACTAATCAAATTAAATCTCTTTGTTTATAATACTGTTCAACAGAATGAAACGACCCATTCACTACCTGCATTGCAGTTCGTCGCCACACAGGCAAGAAACTGCTCACACACTATCGTATAGTACTACGTATGGCCCACTTGTGGAGTCTCGCAGAACTTAGGGTAATATTGTTCTGTGCGCAGAACGCATTGCAGGATGGCTTGCACGCTGCGACTACATTCATAATCCTGTATTATGCGGCGGACTGCAAGAGGGATAATGAATGCACTTTTTAATAAGGAATTGGCTTAAAGTCTGTGAAACTAGGCCATAAAATAATTTTAAAAATCCTATTTTCCATGGCCGTACTAAACAATATGAACACGAAATACCTACAAAAAAATCGTGCCACTGCTGTGCGCTAAAAATCGCTGCCTTTGCCTAGGGTTGTCGACTCCACAGTATTCTCCAGTTTTATTTTAGGTGCCTAATATGTCATGATAAAATAGGTTGTTATTGACAATGAAAGTACTAAATAGTAGTATTTTTTATTACATACTTATATTGAGACCAGTAGGTATTAAAGCATTTCATCAGCTTATTCCCTACATAAACTGCTTAAGCGACCAATGCAACAATTTAAGTAGCTCAGATCAAGAGTAGTTCTTGATCTAAATTAAATAGGTACTACTACCTACCATATCAAGATATAGCTGTTGCCCACGGCTTCGCTCGCATTATTCCAAGATAAAAAGTATCTTATAATATAATTATTATAGGAAGTCGGATGTCAAGCTACAAAACGGATTAAGTATATGTATCGATTTTCGGCAACACCTCGAACCCTATGGAAAAAAGTTATATGGCAAATATAACGTTATTGTTATAAAGTTTTAAGTTATAGGTAATAAAAAGATATAAGTATTTTGTATGACAAATATTGTGCATATTAAAAGGACATTAAGAGAAAAGGACAGTCGGCGAAAGGACATATTTAATTTAAACATGACAAGATAACAAAAATATTGAGGAATAAAATAAAACAATGAAATATTCATACATAATTTTAATTTATTACTCGTTTCTAAACAATATTAATTTGTTCAAAAATTGTCTATGTGACAGTTTTTCACTTTTCATTTGTCCATAATACCTAAACCTTATATCGAGGAAAATTTTTATAACACATTTAATTAATAGTAATTTGTGGATACTAGAATGATCAGGATCAACATCAATTGAAAAAAAATTATTTAAATCACACACTTCACATAAAAATTTAAAAATATAGAGATAATATATTTCAGGTTTGGCTTTCTGTTCAAAATTGGTTTTTATTAATTTTTCAGCTTGTACAATAATTTCTGTTACGCTACAAGAAGCATATTGAAGCCCTCCTCTTGATTTTTTATAAATAACTATTCGTGTCTTCATTCCCAAGTAAAAGGGACACGCATACTTCGCATTTTATACTGCGCAGTAACTTTCTGGTTACGAACCCAGCTATAATTGTAAGACCCGGTCTGTGTATTCATCATTTTCATCAAGTAGTGTTTCTAAATAAGTTTCATATAAATCACTTTCGTCTTCCGTGATTTCTGCATAACTTTCTTTTTCTGTTAGTTCGTTTAAAGCCGTGATCGGATTTTTGCTGCTACACGTCAATATAGAAATTTGTTCCAATGGAGTGCAATTCCCAATTCCACCATCCCGGATTTCAGCTCTCACTAACAGTTTTTTATAAGCTGCTCGAAATTGTATGGCATCAGGGTTGTTATTGAAACCACCTCTTGCTCTTATAGCCGAGAAAAAAAGCTCAATGTGATCTTGGCTCACTTTATAAAGAGGTAGGTATTTTAAAACTTTTGCGTTTTCCACTAAATAGTTGTAAAGCGACAGTGCACTTTTCATGTTGATTACCATTGCGATAAAGCCTGTTTTTCTGCGTGAATTAATTAAAAGCTCACCAAAAGGCAGTTTTAAATGTATAAGGTAAACAGTGGCACTTTCAAATAATGCCGTTATTAGGCCAATATTAGAAGGGCACATTGCTTTTTTAAAACCAGGTGGTCGAATTGAATGGCTGTTTAATATATCAAAGACATCGTTCATTAAATTTATGAAACTGATAGTGCCCGCACAGTCTTCGAATATTTAAACCTGTCCGACAATATTCCAAAGCGTCAGCCACAGAACTACTGAACAGCTGCGTAGCTAGCTTCACTTTCATTTTTTACTTCTGGAAAAATATATGTGCCTTTTTTACTTTATTTGCAAGATGTAAATTCTTTTTTTCTTGCAGTTCTAATAGCTGTTCCACATACCTAAATTCTATTTTCCGACCAAATTGATCAACAAATACTCGTAATTTCCCAAAAGCATTTCGTATTAATTTTACTGCATGACAAGGATCTATAAAAGCATGAACGAGAGTTACCTCGTTCAAAACTTGTTTTTTCTTGATTTTTTAAAATATCACAGCCAAGGTGAGAAAACATACAAAAATTTGCTACTGGACCATCACACGTAACACTTACTACTTTGATACCAACGTTTTCGCATAGTTGAAGGGCGGTATTGACTATGCCACTTTTTTGCTCTCCTGTCACTGAAGTTATGAAAAAGTAACCTATGGGAATTTTCCATGACCCATTTATACATGTTAGGAGTAAAACTAAAACCTGGCTGGCTTCTTCAGCAGTATCAGTATCTATATTATGATTTCCATAATCCACTCTGCCATAAAATTTCTGTGCTCTTGGGTCCCAAATCAATGACATCCTGAAGCTTCAAAAGCCTCTTTAGTGAAACCTGGATCACAGTTGACATGCTGGTACCACTTACATAAGGTTCTTGTGTGTGGGAGACAAGTGTTGTAAGTTTCCCTTATATAATCATAGGCTTTAGGGGAAAAAAAATGCAACATTAGTGCAAATTTTCTCATTTCCGCGGAGTACTTATTTGGTAATGGTAATTCCTTGGCCTTGTTTATTTGCCTTTTTAAAAAATCCGATGGTCCTGCTAAATCGTTGATTAAAACAGACTGTTCCAAATTTGTATGATTTTTTTGGCGGAGGTCTTCATTAATATCCTTTAAATCAGCAAGTTTTTTGTTTTTTCTTCGGAGTTTTTCTTTCATAGACTTGATTATATATTGATCATATCTTTCTTTGCTTTGTGCATTTTTCTTCTAATGCCTGAATTTTCTGATCCACGATGACCTGAAATTTTATTTTAATATAAATAAAGAGAATATATAAAAATTTTAATATAAAGAGCAACAAGTAACGCCCTTGAGACCGGAAGTTTTGGGTGTTTTGATGTAAAAAAAAAAATCAAAATTCTACAATTCTTTTGTCTACCACACCATTTCTTAATTGTTTTTATGTAACAGTGAAATTAAATAAGGACATAATTTTTACAAAACTGACGGATAATCTGTTTTGTCAGTTTCAGTTCAGAAATAAATCAGTCGAGTGCCAGTTGAACTTGCACACAAAGAGATCCATTGTCTAAGAAGAATGGCAAAGGCATAACAATTCACATTTATTAGTTAGGGCTCCCATTTTTTCTGTTTTCAGTATTTGTTATTACAGCTGCTACAGAAATAGTTAGGTACTTACATCATCAGTGGAAATTTCAATTATCTACCCATCACAGTTCATGAGATGTGTATTCACCCTATTGACAGATGGATGTACGGCGGAGTCTTGCTAATGGGGTACCGTTTTACCCCTTAGGTATGACTCCCTAATTTATTATATATTTATTTGTAAGACACCGAGACTGGTTTAGTAATAAAAATTATTAAGATGTATTATTTCATGGATTACTTACCTATTTTTGTAGTTTTTCCATAGAGTGATGTTGTATTGGTAACATTGGTAATGATGAAAAACTTGCAGATGTACAAGCAACATCAGTCATCACATTGCCCGTTTCACACAGAACCAATGACTTTGTTACCGATGTCTAAAGAAAAAATAACATAATTTTTTTTTTTTTTTTTTATAATAACGCACACACTCAACATAGCCCCGCACTAGGGAAACCCTGTGTCGCGGGTGCCATGGACACACACATAGACAACCACAAATTACACCCAAACTCACGAGAGAAATAAATGTAGGTCATACAAATATTTCGCCCGGCCCGGGAATCGAACCTGGGACCTCTGCGTGGCAGTCCGGCATGGTAACCGTTCAGCCACGGAGGCAGTCAATATAATTAAATGCTATGTATTTAATAGAAATATTTCCAAATATAATAAAATAAATTGGAAAGTATTTTTTGTTGTAAATCTACATAATTACCCTATTCTAAAAGGAATATCATAAAATTCATATCATTTAAAGGTTACTTACTGGAAATATTGAGGGGACTGCATAATCACGTAATCTTGTGACATCAAGAGTTCTGTTGAAACAGCTTTCTTCAAAATGCAAAGAGCAAAGATACCACTCTTTGTGCCGAGGGTTAATATTTTCCTCGCCGACAGCCTCTAACCACTTCCTTCTCAATCCTTCATTCTTTGGAAATCTGTAAAAGATATTATTATACTTTAAACATATTTCTTAAAGCTTATTTTTGATTGAAGCACAACCCTATTTTACTAGGAAAACAAATAACAGCAAAATAAAGATAGATTTTTTTTTTAAATTTATTATTCAATTTACAATTAAACACATAATTATGTACATTTAGATTTTCCTTTCAAAAAGTAGTAGTTTTATTACAAAAATAATAATAGATACATATACTTTAAACATAAATTGATAGTTGTGATTAGTTTTACGTTAGCATTTGTATGATTTTATGAGCTATTACTTGAAATCGAAGTACAAACCTGTGATGCGTCAATCGAGGCTGATTTTTGCTTTTCCGCGAACTACACTTTAAAATGCAACAGACAGGCATCTTGGTCTGTAGATTCTCCACACTCCTACGTAATTTGAGAGTTTAAACACTAGTTATAACTTGGGAAATCGCAATTTTCTAAAATGAAAACATTCATCTGACAGCAGAACTACCACGAAACTGTCACATAAAATGGCGGATTGTGGCACGCACCGACAAATGTCAAAGCGCGTTGGCGATTGTTGCCATAATTATACATTATAGAAATATGTTTATATCTTTCGTCAAATGCAAATGTCTACAAGAAAAAAAGAGACAAATATATGTTTTTTTACAATGTCGCCGAAATGCATTGTATTTGTATAACTAAAAATTCTATATATTGTTAGGACCGCCTCCATAGTAATTATAGCTCTATGCTATTTTCTAAACGTAACTTGGTGAAATGTCTTACTTGCAGCGTTGCCAATTTGTGGAAAATTTCCTAAATTGCGGGGAATTTCAACTAGATTGGGGTTTTTGTAGGGATTAGCGCTATGTGGGGATTCTAACATTTTATCATTTTGTTTAAACTATCGATTGCTGATGCATCGCTAGTTTGATCGTTACTGTTAGAAACACTGTGATGAACTCTATCCCTCGCTTTAATAACAAGCAGCTTAAATAGAATTATTAACAGAGCCCTTGGTTCTGAATTGTAAAATTACCAATCGGTGCGTGTGAGTCGCGATCCTTTCTCCAGCTTTACCCAGTTCCCGGCATGAAGATAAACGAAATCAGTTATTGAGAAACAAAGACGAGCAGTTGGTACTTCCACACCACAAGTTACCACTCGTCTATTTTAAATATTAAATATAGGTCGAAACTTAATTTACTGATTGATTATTTCTAACATGATCATGCGTCACCAAATGCGCAACAAATAATTAACGTTAGTTAAAAAGTTACTTAATTTTGTAAGACAAACAAAAATGTTTTTTTTCTTCAAAGACTGATTAATATTGAATGTCATTGAAATAAATAAACGATTTAAGGTCATTTAATTTTATAATTTGCTTTACATTTTACATTCTGGTTACATTCACAGCAACCGCAATGTGTGCGTTGTCAATAGATGGTTTCAATTAAAGTTTCTTAATTCTTTATTATATTTTTAAGCTATGTATTTGTAATAAATAATGAAAACTGGAAATGTGGGAAATATGAACTTTGCTCTCCCCAAATTTGGGGATTTTAACCGTGATTTTTGGGGATTTTGAACATTTGACATTGGCAACGCCCCTTGCTTGTGCTCTCTCTTGCTCTTTTCTTTTATTGCTGTGTTGGAGTAGGGTTGTTTCTATCGTAATGTGAGATGCTAAGGAAATAATTAAAGAAACTAGATGAATTTTTTATTTAACATACAAATTGGCCATTGAAACTTAGAACTTGTTTAATCATGAAGATTTGGACTTCAGAACACACATTCAAGTAAGTTATATGTGACGCAACCTTTGGTCTTTTAATATGTAATAAGTACCTTCCCTTTGATCATGTTTCCTCATTCTTCGTGATTTATTTACAGCCATCCATGGGAGACAGTTGCGCAAGCAGCATGGCGAAAATATCCCAACCCTATGAACCCTGCAGTCATTGGAACTGATGTAGTTGAAAGAAAAGTGGTAGATGGAGTACTGATTACCCACAGACTTGTCAGTTCGAAATGGTATTTCCCTCGATGGGCACAAGCAGTGAGTATTCTAAGAATACTTTTAGTAATTGTTATAATGAAACAATTCAAAGCTCATCAGGAGTTAATTTGTTGGGGCAGAATGACCTTGATAATTCATATCAGTACTTTTGTCTCAATACATGAAACATAAATTATAAACACATGTATTTAACATACATTTTCTAATTACTAAAAGTAATTAACCATTGGTAACTTAAATTTTTTTTTTAGTTGATTGGAACAGCAAAAATTTGCTATGCTAGTGAGAAATCCGAAGTAAATCCTAGCATACGACAGATGACTCTAAAAACGAGAAACTTAACATTTTGTCATTACATAGCTGTTGATGAAACAGTAAGATATACTCCACATCCGAAAGATTCATCCAAAACGCTGCTGACACAGGAGGCTGTAGTAACTGTACAAGTAAGTACATCCTTTTTAACTAGCAAACTGTTGCATTATCTGCTTGTTGGTCAGGACCTAATAAAATGTAATCATAAATGGCCAGGCACACATCTTATCGACATACATGTGTCCATAATGGTTTTGGTAATATTTTTTTTAACACAGCTGTGTTTTACAGACACAATATGGCCTTAAAACGCTATGGTATCAATATCATTAAGGAAACTAGTATGTCTCTAACGATTGTATCCACACATGACAGTTTAATAATAATCTTTGTTATGGTATAGTACAAAGGGTATATTTGAGACGGGGCAGCAAGGCCAGCTACCTTAATCGTTGCAGTTACAGGAAAAGGGTTCTAGAAGACTATTCATGAATTTTGAAGATATTTAGATTGGCATTTACAGATTGAAAAAATGGTACAGTCAGCAAGATAAAAGGCAATTTTTAGAAAACTTTTTTTTATGCCAATCGATTTGGTCTCTGGTAAGGATCAATAGTCTCTATGGGACCAACTGAGGTAAGAGTACTCTAAATGTCAGAAATCGCAAAAAACTTTTTACCATACATTTTGTAGGGACCTATTTAGTAATCAGTTATTCTGGAAACTAACAAATTGACAACGTATTATGTCTTTCAAAATAAAAACAATAACGAAAAGCAAAATAACATAAAAATCTATGATAGTAAGTGCCCGAATTGATTGCCGCCTTGGCAGATGCATCGATTCGCTTTCTTCCGCAAAGAGCAAGTAGCGGCTAAAATTCTACTCAGATGGATTCTATTGAAAATTGCTGCAAGTGCGTTTATCAATTATTGAACACTTGTATTTTTTTATAAATTTAATTTTTTACATAGCCCCAAAGAAAAAATCAAGGTGCGTCAGATCAGGACTGCGTGGTGGACATATGATAGGACCATGTGTTCCAATTAGTTTGTTTCCACACTTGAAAACATTTTGATTAAAAATCGACTTAAAAGTGACAATTTTCTATTAACAAAACAAAACAAAGCTGTTCCAAATTAAAAAAAATAGTGATATGATTATAATTTGGTTTAAGTCTTACTTGGTACTTGGTGTAACGGGCTGGTGTCCGCAACTCGACGTCAAGGCGCCTATTTTGCGTGTGGTTATTTAAGTCTTATTTGTAGAGTATTATCCGGAATCGTTTCTAACAAAAAATTTTCGTTTAAAATGTGTGGTAAAAGATTTTTACGATTTCTGCCATTTCCAGTACTCTTACCACAGTTGGTCCCGTAGAGACTATTGATCCTTACCAGAGACCGGTTTGAATGGCATAAAAAAAAAATTTGTAAAAATTGCCTTTTATCTTGCTGACTGTACCATTTTTTCAAAATCTGTGAATGCCAATCAAAATATCTTCAAAATTCATAGATAGTCTTCTAGGATCGTTTTCCTGTAACTACAACAATTAAGGTAGCTTGCCTTGCTGCCCCGTCTCAAATTTACACCCTGTATATATATAATATAGGTGCCTATTTTGCATATTATGTTAGTCAATGTTATGTTTATATTATTAAAATTGAAAGTAATCAATTTAGGCCCCAGATCTCATTGGTTATATATTTTCAATGGAATGGCCTTATGCTGCCATTACGTTTATTTACTAAACAAAAATCTGCCTAATTGATTTATGATAAACTACACATAATTTTTTTTAGGATTGGTATTAGGTCCTACAGTGAGTTATAATATGATGATTGATCACAGTTAAATTCTTAATTTGCGGTTACCGCGGATCCGAGACAGACCTATTTCTGGTTCTCATGGATGACCAATTAATTTCCACAAAGTAAGAGTTAAATAACATATTGTAAGTAATAATAAAGTACTTTGCCCTGTGCATCAGTTAATTGCTCTGTGACAATTATCATATCACAAGCCCATTGTTACATTCTTATATATTTATTCTAGTTTTCTAGTGAACCTACTTTTGTTGCACAACATTGGATACATTAAATTTTGTAAATACCTATGTGTTACAATGTACACAATACATTGTATTCAAAATTTGTCTGAAATTGTGAAATTATATGCAAGCCTGAGTAAAGCACTAGATTGTTGATAATCAATCATTTTGATAAGATCTTTGTATATTTATCACATTTGCATTGTCATTATACAGTATGGAAATTAGTAAATGTAAAGTTTTTGTGAGTTTAAACAGTCCATTATAATTTTAAAACCAATTATTTAGAAAATACTTTATGTGTTATGAAAATTACCTGATGATGTATTATACTTATTAAATACCACAGTTTTGTCATTATAGCAACCAAGTTGTAGGTTCTGTATCAACATTAATTTACAAGCAAAATTGAATGCTGAGTCAAAGACACAGAGATCATTTCTTCGAAATTGTTAATTTAGTTAGTTGACTGTGCTATATAATGTATTGTCGACACGTGAACACCAGACGTCACATTACCATCCGCCGCGTGCACTTGCGTCATACACGTGCTTATAAAATCGGACTTTCAGCTTGTTACGACGCAGATTTCGATTACATTGTCTTATCTTTCAACAACCAAACTTTGGTCGCTATTTATTTACCTGAATGTTTGTGTATTTTTATACACCAAATTGTATGTTGTGAATATTTGAACACATTGATTTTTAAATTTTCAGGGTGTACCTCTAGGCAGTTATATGGAAGATCTACTTGCAAACAAGATCTCTTTGAATGCTGGAAAAGGACGACAAGCCATAGAGTGGGTTATAGGCAAGCTGGACTCTGAAATCAAAGAACTTGCAAGTTCAGCATGCAAAAGCACAGATGAACTTCTTACACAGACTAAGAAGTCTCTTGATGACATCACTTCTTCAGCTAGAAGATCCATGGATGATATTTCTTCAAAAGCAAAACGGTCCCTTGATGATATAGAAAAATTCACTAAGGCAAATGCAAACCAACGGAGCTGAAAAGAGGAGTGATTGAAGTCTCAATGGACTGTTTGGCGCTAGAGACTTGCGACACACGCTATTTTGTCATGATTATTGTATTTCATTTTCATGAAAAGTGATTTCATTCATTTATTTATTACTAATTTAATGTAATACCATTATGCAATTGTATTGCATAGGATTAATGACAATACCACATTTACGAATTTGAGCAGTTTGGTTTTGCTTGGATAAGTGATTCTGAAAGCAATTGTTTATTGTGAGATGTTCACAAAGTGGTTATGTTCTTTGGCTCGAGTAAACATTAGCCAATAGTATGGCTAGGTATGGTCATGACAACTTGGGTTTCCTGCAACAAGTGGATGTTAGTATGCTCAATTTTATAATTGATGTACTTTTAGATCAATATATGTTTGTTAATTAGTATTCATTCATTGATTGTAGAGGTACATAAATGTATTGTGTAGAAAATAAAGACATTTAGTATTGCCAATTCATTATTATATTCCAAAAACAGGTTTGTTACAAGCAAGACCTTTTAAATTATATGAATACTTACCCAACTATTGTACAACAGTCTGGAATTATACAAACACAGCTAGTACTTCTACAGAGTAACAATTTCAAAGAGAAATGTGATATAACACTAAATTCCTATAAATATTAATTTAATTATGCCATCATTCAGCTGTCTAGATGAGGTTTTGTTAATAAAATAAATTTCTGTTATATACATTGGAGTCTTTTAAATTCTGAAACTTGTGGCGCATTTACACCAGGTTGTCTGCCGCGTTTTGGGTAGATTACTTTGACAAGGGCAAGTGACACTTGCCTGTTAACCGGTGGAAATGTGCCATTAGTTTATACCAGAGACTACTAAGTACATTGCACCAATTCATCTTTATTGCTGTTAAAACTAAAATGTAATTTACATACGACTTATATGTACTTGTAAACCTTAGACTATGGAAACTAATTTTTTTTCATTCTCTAAGTTGTAAACCTGCATAGTCTTATTTCTATACATTATGACATGTATGTAATTGGTTATTTGGAATACACATTTTAGCTAAACTACATTACTTTAATTGACAAGCTTATAAAATAAGCAAATAATTGCTACATTTATTTGTTATTTATATACATAGTAGTTATCATTCGGGGTTCTAAACAATAATTTTGAGAGACAATATTTAGTGTTTGAATTTACAATTGCCTATGTTAATATAATTATTTTTTGATTGACAATGATTTTTTCATTAATATGTCATATCCTATGAAAATTAAATAAAACACAGGTTTTGTAGAACAAAAAAAGTTACGAAATAAGTGAAGACAGAATTACACAACATTTTAAATTTTAGACCTAAACCAATACATACTAAAATGCTCACAAGAGGCAATAAAACACATACATAACAGCAACATCTGCTGACACCGAATTCAGTATCAGGTACTTGTTCCAGCTGATGTCATGTTACCATTAGGCACATTGCTGGTTGCTACATTGCGGCTATTAGCTGCCAAATGAGATGCTTTCAGTCGATCTAGTTCATTGACCCATGACCGTACATGTTCCAATCTATGCCAGGCCATCTGCAGGACCTTTTGGGAAGCATAACCCGACCCTTCGTGAGGTTGCCCAGTGGAAACTTGAGTTAAGTAATTGATTTGATCACTAAGTTTGGACTCTACTTGGCTAAGGGTCCTTAGAAACTGTGATGAGTTTGTCTCTGCTTGCTTCTGGCTTGACTTTTCTTTACTTAGCTCTAAAAGTGCTTGAGCTGAGAAAAAAATTTAAAAATATGAGTATGAACTGGGTATGAACTTACATATTTAAGAAATTATTATCGGTTACCTGCACACTGTAGACAAGTAATAATATCCTTTTCAATATCATCGAGAACTTGTATTCTTTCCATTGGACCTGCCATTGTTAACCGGACGTCTGTATAGAGGAAATATTATTAAATTCTGTTTAGAGGAAATATCGTTAAACTCCGTTCACTTTGGTAAACAGGCGTGAAATCAAAGTCATGGTAACCAATAAAGTATAGGTAGGTCATTAGGTACTCTACGGATACAACTTTATAATCAAAGATTTATTATTGCTTCATGCATAATATGCAAAGAGAACGAACAGAGCTTTACAAGCGGACAAAATTGAACAGAATAAATTGAGAAAAATTCACATCAACCTTTTTTGTTGTATTCGAGATATATTCGACGAAAAAGTCAGGCGCCGTCAAATAAAAATTATCACTCTTTATTTTGTGATTATTATTTGAATACAATTTATTTACACCAAGGATAAAAATTATTGTATGTACTTATTTAATGAATGAATGAATTAGTGTTGCCAGGGGCTTGAGTCGAAAATTACATTCCACTAGACTTCCATTTTTTTAAGTATTGTTGTTCGAACAAATCTTTCAATTAAATTAAATTATTGCATATACTCTACTGTAACAAGGATGAAAATGGCTTAAAGCTAAGATAAAAGGGGAGAGGGTATTACTACAAGCAAACAGGTGCACTCAAATGATAGAACGAGTTGTGTCACTATGGTCTCAATCTTAGGGTCTTATTCCAGAACTCTACTCAATACTCAAGTCAGGACATGAGTATTGCAGTGAGCACTGAAAATCATACTCAGGTCCTTGCCATTAGGGTCGTATTTCCAGTGCTTCAAATCATACTTAAGTCTGCTCAAGTTCTGTCTTGAGCATTGAACTCTACTCAACGCTCAAATCAGGATTTGAGCAGACTTGAGTATGATTTCAAGCACTGGAAATACGACCCCAATGGCAAGGATTTGAGTATGATTTCTAGTGCTTTGAATCATACCAAGTCCTGACTTGAGCATTGAGTAGAGTTCTGGAGTACGACCCTCATAGTGCGCCCCACGTATAAGGACCATCATAATGAAACAGCCATTTTAAATTGTCGTTGTGGTCTCATAACAGCAGAGAAGCAGGATTTGAAAAAATATCTTTTCCTGTTTCCTGACGAAATCTTGTCATTAAAAGTATTTAGTTTTCAACAATTCATTTACCGCATTGCAATATACTAAATTTATAATAAGATTAATGAGTTACGCTTTCGGATTTGTTTTGTAATCAAATAAATTTCTAAGTTCTTCTTCTTCTTTTAAATGCCATGGTTCCATCGAAATAATCGGTGATTTCGCCAGTGTCAAGTAAGACATTTTTAAACAATTTTCTGACATTACTGACGTCCGTAAAGCGTAATCGGTAAATAGTCTAAGAGCTCTGAGATCACATCTCATGGGCAATTTATGAAGATAAGGTATAATCGACTTCATCCGATTGCTAAGTAAAAGCCGCTAAGTAGGTATATAAGAATTTTTTTATTATAAAATTATATATATCTGTACCCAGCAGTGGGTGAAATCAGGCTGTAGATGATGATGATGATAAAAATGTAATGCATCTTCCTTCGGGGGTGGGTTAGGGGTGGATTAGGGGGTGGGTTAGGAGGTAAGATGGCGGGCACAACTTTTAAAATAATGGCAAGTTGGGTATCGTTTTCGAGGTATTTTGGGGTGCTCATTACGAATATGACACTCAATTCTGAATCCAAGATGGCGGACACGATTTTGAGTGAGTGGGTGAGTGAAGGGGTGGGTTAGGTGGTGGGTTAGGTGGTGGGTTAGGGGGTGGGTCTCTCATCCGCTCTCTCATTCGTAATGACACTTTTATTCGGTAGTTTTAGTTTTAATTGTTAGTTTTAATTGTTTCTTATAACAACTAAAAAAAATTACTTGCAATTAAAATCAATTCAATTGAAATAAATTGCAACTAAAATCAATTGCAATTAAATCAATTGCGACGTGTCGCAAATACCTCGGAAACGATACCCAACTTGCCATTATTTGAAAAGTCATGCCCGCCATCTTGTGTTTAGAAATGAGTGCTATATTCGTAATGAGCACCCCCAAATACCTCAAAAATGATACCCATATTACATTTACTTGAAAAGTCGTGTCCGCGTCTTGGATTTAAAAATAAATTCTTTATTCGTAATGAGCACCCCCAAATACCTCGAAAACGATACCCAACTTGCCATTATGTGAATAATCGTGCCCGCCATCTTACCTCCTAACCCACCCCTAACCCACCCCCGAAGGAACATGCATTATAATTTTATCATCATCATCATCTACACTGTACAGCCTGATTTCACCCACTGCTGGGTATAGGTACCTATATATAATTTTATAAGAAAAAAATCTTATATACCTACTTAGCGGCTTTTACTTAACAGTCGGATGAAGTCGAAGAAGTACTTAAAAATTTATTTGATTACAAAACAAATCGCGTTTACGAATAGATCGAAAGCGTAACAAATTAATCTTATCATAAATTTAGTGTATTGCAAATGCGGTAAATGAATTGTCAAAAACTACAATACTTTTAATGGCAAGATTTCGTCAGGAAACGGGCAAAAATATTTTTTCAAATCCTGCTTCTCTGCTGTTATGAGACCACAACGACAATTTAAAATGGCTGTGTCATTATGATGGTCCTTATACGTGGGGCGCACTATGAGGGTCGTATTCCAGAACTCTACTCAATGCTCAAGTCAGGATTTGAGTATGATTTAAAGTACTAGAAATCATACTCAAGTCCTTGCCATTAGGGTCGTATTTCCAGTGCTTGATGTCATACTCAAGTCCTGATTTGAGCATTGAGTAGAGTTCTGGAATACGACCCTAAGTTTCCGGAATGAATAAGAAAAAAATACCCTAAATGGTCAGAAATGAATTTATTGTTTCTCAAAATATTCTTCGTTAGCGTTAATGCACTTTTTCATACGAATGAACCAATTTTGGAAACATTTATGCCACCCCTCCGTAACAATCTCTGTAACATATTTTTCATACTTTTCGACAGCATCTTCAGGTGATGAAAACCGTTGACCGCGTAACTGGTTCTTAATTTTTGAAAATAAATAAAAGTCATAAGGTGCCAGGTCGGGACTGCACCCGGGATGGCTCATAAGGTCAACATTGTTCACCTTCAAAAATTCATTTGTCTGTCTGGCCGTGTGAGAACTGGCATTATCGTGGCGCAGTAGCCACGTGTCCAGTTTTATTAAAAAAAGATGCAATCATCCGTTTAGAGGCACTTTGCACTCGCGCCACTCTGGTTGGTTTCCGCTCATCTCGAAAGACCCATACGCTCGATTGCTGCTTTGTTTTGGGATCGTAACTACAAATCCATGTTTCGTCACCTGTTACTACGTCCCTTACCAAATTTGACGCCCCTTCGTTGAATCTGGTAAGCATGGCATTGCACCAAGAGACACGATCCTCGAGGTTTTTTTAGCCTCAGTCAAATTGTATGGGATCTACCGAGAGCACAGCTTTTTCACGCCCAAATGTTTGTGTAGTATTGATTGTATTTGACTCATGCCTATACCTAAAGAAGCCCGAATCTCATGGTATGTTACATGCCTGTCTGCTTTGATCATACGGCGCACAGCATCGATGTTTTTGTATGAACACACAGCAGTGGACGGGCGACCATCATGAAATTCATCACTGAGATTCACACGACTGCGTTTGAATTCTGCAAACCAGCTTTAAAAAGTCATTTTGCATGGTGTTTGCTTCATCCTTCATCATTGCTCCGCTGAGCTGTTAAATTACACTTAAAGTCGTAGAAAATCATACTACGAAAATTTTCACGAGTTAAATCCATGGTGATGTAGACAACCAATTTCTAAAATGACGCCACAATGTAAAAACAAGTGACAGTTAAATGAGACAAACTGTATTCTACAGTCAAAGAGTTCCATTTTCAAATGTTGTAATTACTTTTTAAATATTGTTTACGTAAGTGGCCAGTTCCGGAAACTTATAGTGCGCCCTATATAGTAACAAAACCAGAGTTGTCAATTGATAAAAGTAATTTCTACACTTCTACACTACTTAAAAAAAAACTTACTCAATTACGTCAGTAACGCGCGATTGCATCGATGCAATCACATAAATCACAAGCGTAACAATGCAAAAGCGCGTTTGAATCGATGCAGTCGCGCGTTTGCATCGCTGCTTAAAGTCGCTCGTGTGTATAAAGGTAGACGATAAGCCACTGTATCGCTGCTACCTACGACCTGTGATGTATTTTTTAATATGAGTCATAATACTCTATGGTACGTAATACGTACAGGGTAAGAGCACGTCAAGCTTGACATTTAAGATTTAAATCCAACTCTATGTCGCATACGTTAAGAACGGTCCAAAGACAAAGTGTCAAACTTGACGTGCTCTTGACTGTATATACGTATAACGGATCCGTTAAGAATAGTTAGTGTAGGTCACGGAAAAATTTCCACTTAGAACAAAATCATATTGAGTTCTTAAGTTTTCGCGATTGTTACATATAGGAAATTAAACTATTTTTCCGTATTTAAACTATTTTTCCGTCAACCGTGATCATGGGACCTGTAAAGGGCCCGAAACGTTGGTTTGTTTGAAGAAACAAATGTACGCGATTCCGGAAAAATAGTTTCATTTCATAAAATATCATATTTTTCAGGAAAAATAATGTAAAATAGGAATAGCCTCACGATTCTACAGGGTTCAGAAAAATTCTGTTTGGTTTAAATTGTGAATATAATCTAGACTGTTTCTATTTTCTAATCGCCATGAAATAAATCGATATAAAAAATCGCTAGACGGTGTACACTTTAATCGATTTTCATTAAGATCGAAATTGTTATGTGATATGCATCTCTATCCCTAACTCATACTCATCGTGTCATTCATTCGGTCAGTCTTAAGTCTTTTTGTTGCGGCTGTCGTTCGATATGGTATGTTGATTTCATTTCTCAAAATTATATCTAAAAATTATGGTAAAATCGTTCATTTAATGTTTGATTATTATGTGAAGTGTGTGTGTATTATTTATGTAGTATGTGTTTTTGAGCATATTTTTACCCGTTATATTACTTGCCATGTGGTTACTACAAATGATGATCCCTTTACATTTTATCACACGGTTAGAACCTGAAACTTTGTGAAGATTATACTAGGGCGGACTGATGTTTGTCATGGCAGTGAGCTCTAGCTTCATTAGTGTAGGTATGTTCTAAAGAAACGATTAATTTCAGTCGCACAGGAAGTTCTCTGCGCCTCGTCATGGCTCTATGGGGTTCTACCCCAAGAAGAGATCTCGTCGTCATCGTGGAAAGGTGAAGGCGTTCCCAAAAGATGACCCTAGCAAACCAGTGCATTTAACCGCTTTCATCGGCTATAAAGCTGGCATGACCCATGTGGTCCGTGAACCTGATCGTCCTGGTTCAAGTAAGTAGGAAATGGCGTATCACACCCTTATTAATAGTTTCATAATTCCAAAGTTTTTTTGTGAAACTGACAAGCCTATTAAAACCGGACATAACAACATGTCACGTATGATTTTGCCTGGTGCCAAATGTAACAAAATTCTATTTGTTATGTACTTACCAGTATGTATTAGTTTATTTCGTACATTATATTTATTGGAAATTGTTAATTCCGAAAAAAAAAAAATTATTTTCGAATTCCGTCACTAAGACGCAAAGGCTGTGGTTATTTAATTGGCTTACTGTTTATAGAGATAAACAAGAAGGAGATTGTAGAGGCGGTAACGATCATTGAGACACCGCCTATGGTATGCGTTGGTGCAGTCGGCTATATCGAGACCCCACATGGTCTTCGTGCTCTGCTCACTGTTTGGGCTGAACATATGTCTGAGGACTGCCGCCGTCGCTTTTACAAGAATTGGTATGTGCTTCTAATTCTTTTGAGAGTTAGCTTCTTTTACAAATTTTAAAAGTACAGTTTGGACTCATTCTACATAGCACCAATTTAGCTGTAACATCCATGGTTCTTTTGTTAATGTATTCTTTTTTAAATATATTAATTATGGTTAAAATAGCTCTCCTCTCGCTGGATGAGAGTTTTATTGTAAATATGCTTGAAGCATATTGTTACCTTGTGGTCTCCACTCAACGATGAGGCTACCTGGAGTCTCTTACAGCACTCCTTCACTATGATTAAATCAGGTACAAGAGCAAGAAGAAGGCTTTCACCAAGGCTAGTAAGAAATGGCAGGATGAGCTTGGACGCAAGTCAATTGAGAAGGACTTTAAGAAAATGATCCGCTACTGCAGTGTGGTAAGGATCATTGCCCATACCCAGATGAAACTGCTCAAGCAGCGTCAGAAGAAGGCCCACATTATGGAGATCCAAATCAATGGTGGAACAATTGAAGACAAAGTTAAATGGGCACGTGAACATCTCGAGAAGCCCATCCCCATTGATTCAGTTTTTGTCCAGGATGAGATGATTGATTGCATTGGTGTCACTAAGGGCAAGGGTTATAAAGGTAATTTGTTCACAATTTTACTATGATATTTATTGACATGTATTAATTATTGAGAATATTCTTATTAAATAGATTCTAATGATTAGGTGTTACTTCACGCTGGCACACAAAGAAGTTGCCCCGTAAGACACACAAAGGTTTAAGGAAGGTTGCTTGTATTGGAGCATGGCATCCTTCAAGAGTTTCATTCACTGTTGCTCGAGCTGGTCAGAAAGGTTACCATCATCGTACTGAAATGAACAAGAAGATCTACCGTATTGGTCAAGGTATTTTTTCCATGTTTTACACCATAAAAGTATATAATAAAAAAAATAAACAGCCTAGCTGTGCACTTAACACTCATGCTTTTTTTTTACAGGCATCCACACTAAGGATGGCAAGGTCATCAAGAATAATGCCTCTACTGAATATGACTTGTCTGAGAAGTCAATCACCCCCATGGGTGGTTTCCCTCACTATGGTGAAGTCAACAATGACTTTGTCATGATTAAGGGTTGTTGTATGGGTCCTAAGAAGCGTGTTATAACCTTGAGGAAGGTAAGGACTTTCAAAAATACACAAATATTTATTCAACTGAATGCATTCTGTTATGCTAACATTATATCTTATTCCGTAGTCTCTGCGAGTACACACCAAGAGAGCAGCACTTGAGAAGATTAACCTCAAGTTCATTGACACGTCATCCAAGTTTGGTCATGGTCGCTTCCAGACACCAGCTGATAAGGCTGCCTTCATGGGTACCCTCAAGAAAGACCGCATTCGTGAGGAAGCTGCTGCAACCACCACACCAGTGGCACCTCAACAGTCTTAAGTAACATTTTTGGGACTGACAATAAATAAGAAAACAAAATTACTTGTTTTAATTGTCATATTGCAATAGATATTTTCACTGCTTGTTTTGGATGTGCACAACTTCCAGAACTTGTTATAGTCAAAGAAAAGCTCACAATTTTCCATATTTTTTACTGTACTGTCCTGTCTTGCTTGTAGTCAAGAGCACACTTGACACTTTGGACCATATTCTTATCGTTAATGGCATAGAGTTGGATTTAAAATCCTGTCAAGCTTTACATGCTCTTGACCCGTGTACTAAAGGCGTTAGGTGCTTTTCCACCGGCGAGGTGAGAAGAGGATTGAAAGGAGATCCGCCAAATCCCATACAAAATTACCCCAGGCCCGGCGCCAAAATAATGTAACTCAATTTTTAGAGTAAAAATAGCAAAAATATTATATAGTTTCGGTATTGCTAAATTCACATGCTAACATTGTCTTTTTGCCCGTTGAATTTTAATAGGGGCTCTTTGTAAAATTATATTTTTTAGAGAAACGTCGTCATTTTTAGTTCATTAATCTTGTAATTAGTCATTATGGCATATAAGCATGTATGTACTGTACTGTGAACTATGAAAAAATAAATTAGATGTTCGAAACTATGTGTAAAATAAAACACTTAGTATGGTTATAAAATAATATATATTTTCATTTTCTCGACAGAATATATGTTTGATGGACTTAGTTTTCTAAATCAACTAATACAAAATCTAAGCCTAGAGCTGGGTGGTCTAAATCACGTTCATTGTGTCTAGCCCAACCCAAATAGTACATGACGCTTATTACATGGGCGCAACTTCCCAGTGTTCTGTTCCCGTGATAACAGGAACAGTAATGTTCTTTCACTGCCTCGATTCCAAAAACCGCAGTATTAAATAACAAATAGGTATAATAAGTTTTTGATCTGACATGACGTGAATTAATTCTGCAGCGAATCAGTACGTTGTTTGTATGCGACTGTGACCTTATAACTCGATCATTTATTATATTTGTTCTGAGTGTCTGTAAACCTCGATTTCATATACGCCATTCTCTTCGTGTGTTCGCTGCAGTACGAACGTGCTATTTTGAGGTGATATGTGCCTATAGCGAATTTTATCAGATCTTCGTACGTCAGCTCCGGAAAATCTGATACTTCTGGATTGTTTGCGTCCAGTCTAGTAAATGATGCTCTTTGCCTGTTCAAGTTGTTTTCTAAAACATACGCGGCCAACAGATTTGTTTTATGTATGTTGCGGTTTATTGATGCAATAAAATCATCAGTAAATCTACTGTCTTCGTAAGGCTCCTGAAAGCAGTTTATCAAAGCCGCTGCTATTTTGAAATCTGTGAATGTTTTCGTCAAGGTATTGTTAAACATTCTGTTGCGGAAGATTTTAAAGCTATTTTTAAACTTGCCATTCACAGTTTCTACAACCCAACGACACATGGTTATTAGTCGTGATTTGTTGGCCTCTTCTGTAGTGAGTTGAATTTCATTTAATAATAATAATAATAATATGATTGATATACATGCTTATATGCCATAATTATTTATTACAATGTTAATGAACTAAAAAGGACGACGCTTCTCTAATAAATAGAATTTTTCATAAAGCGCCTATGAAAATTCAACAGGCAAAAAAACTATGTTAGCACGTGAATTTAGCAATACGGAGACTATATAATATTATTGTTATTTTTACTCTAAAAACTGAGTTACATTATTTTGGCGCCGGGCCTGGGGTCATTTTGGCGGATCTCCTTTGTATGGCGAAATTTCAACTCCTACCGCATCTTCTGTGGACCGTACTGCCTATATACCTACATATAGTTACTGCAATGGAAGTGGAAAGACGAGTCGCGCAATGCCTCGTGTCCGCGCGAGCTCGCGATGGTTCTGTGTAACTATCTGTAGAAATTGTGAGGTACATACGATTTAAAAAAGGAAAATATTATCTCAGTACAAGGCGGAGTACTATAAAAACTTAATATAAAAATTGTAATAATGAATTCAACATGGTGAAATAAGTAATTAATATAATAATTGTTGATAAAATATTGCTTGTAAAGAGATAATCCAAACCACCTTGTCGTTTTAGAAGATAACTTTTGCATTGTGTTGCGTTGTTTGCGTGTTTTATTATTTTCTTAGATAACTATAGAAGCTTCCTAAAATAGTGAAAAAAGTATGTTTAGATAGAAATTAGGTAGTAAAAATATAGTAAATTAAATACTGCTACATCCACGAAAAACGTAAAGTGGTCAGCCAACCTGATGTCACTTTATTTTTTAAGGTACTAAATAGTAGAAAATAGATAGTCAATAATAAGCACAGCTTGATTTGTATATCTCGTTTGGTGCAGCCATCCTGACGGACACAAAAAAAAATAAAGCTAATTGAGAACCTCCTTTTTATAAAGTCGGTTAAAAAGGTTTCGAAAAACAAATGAAGTTGCAGCGAACTAAGGCTAATCATAATTTATATATACTAAGCTGCGTTAAGTGTTACTGAATAGTAAACGGGATATACCACAGACATATATCTAGATAGACGCCGCAAGTGTACGTACTTCGCGTGCCCAAAGTAAGTGAAATTCACTTACTTGCCGCTGCTACACTTCAGAACGCGCTCGACCGTTATCGTAGATAAACACCAGTCGAAAACGCGAAAACTGGGTAAACGGGGAAGTTTCCTTCCACGGGCAAGTGATTTTGTAATCAGAAGATGCATAATTTATTTTAAAAACAATTATTTTGGTTTTGCATGAATTTCGAGACAACAAATATGCAACTCAATGTATGCCTCATGATTTGTAATACATAGCGGCTTTTACTTGGTGCGAATGAATATCGAACGAACGCCCTTTTGCATAATGCATTCAGTTTCTGTGGTACGGCCGCTTGTAAATTTTTTTGGCCAAATTTAACATTTAGTGATGTATACGTTAGGCAACACTGTTCTCGATTCTGATCGATTTTGAAAACAAAGGGACGAAAATTATTATGACCTTAGCAATATTATGAAAATATTCTATTAACTCTTGTTATAACGTTTAGTAACGTTTCGTTTTTTTTTGCAGTTATGTAGTATCTATTATCAGTAGGAGCTGTAATTTCGATAATTTTTGCAGCACGTTGCCTCGAATGTCCGAATATAGTGAGCAAAGAATTACTTATTAATTATTACTATTATTTCATTATTACGAGTAATAAAAAAAATATAATGCAAAGAATTAAGCTAAGCGCTGTCTTTACAAAAACCTGGAGTTGGTCATACGTATGAGTTCGTTGCTTTCGAGGACGATGGTGGTTTAGTTACCTAAGATGCTATCCAAATATGCAGAGTAGCAGAGTTAGAAATCCGAGAAATAATAACCAAATAACAAAAATTTCACACGAGGCCATCATTAAGTAAACCTTAAGTTACTTTAGTAAGATTTTAGATATTTTGTCAGCAGTAACATTTTCCATTTACATATACATTTTGTCTTGCCATTCACCAATTTGATCAATCACCGACGGAAAACTATCTAGTAAATTTAATTAAGGCAGTTACAAGTTCATGTTTGACGTGCGTTTTCATTATTTAAGTCAATAGTTAAGTTCTTCTAGTACAAAAAGACAGTTATATAATAAGCTTATAATAATGTTATATCAAGGACAATAATTTTAATATTTGAAGTTGATTAAAAATTAAAGTTTAACTTATTAAGTAATCAAAATTTTTATATAAAAATTAATAATATTAAATTAAATTGCTATACTATTACTAATTCTAAAATTTTGCGACTAGAACCGACTTTTTCTGGGTGCAATCAGATCTAAGCTAGGAATAAAGCTTATTCCAGCGTGGACAGTAAAACGCCTTAATAACTTCAAAACGGCGTGAATGTAGTAAATCTATTTTTTATGACTATAACTGACTAAATCACGACTTTTTATAGTGTAATCAGATCTAAGTTAGGTGTTGTGGTTCCCGAGATTGAGAAATGGTGCCGCTGGAATAAGATTATTCCAGCGTGGACAGTAAACCACCCTTATAACTTTTGAAAGGTGGACAGCCCGCCAGCCATACGTCATTTCCACTAACCGCCCTGCAATAGCAGCGCTACCTTCGACCAATCCGCCGCCACCGGCTAGCCGTTTGATGGGGGAGAGGAGGGACGTAGCCAGCCAGCCTTATAATAAGCCTTTCAATTTCACAGCAACTGAATTAAGCTACATTGTATCACGTGATTTAAAAAGTAATAAAATACTTGGTAATCTTTACTTCATCGTCTTCTTTGCCGCGCTTCTGTTATAATCACAGATTAATAGTGACTTTTTTTCTGGCTAGTCAAATTTCAAAAACATGTATGGTAGGAGTGGCGAAAATTAAGAGTCGACGGGCAGCATAACGGCTTTTATTCAAATAAGCGCAGACAGTGAAAAAATATTCCTACACTAAAGACAGAGCACCTCTTATATAGACAATCAAATCAACCCTTTCCCTTATACTAAACAGTGTTACAATTTTACAATTTACTGTTGTTACTATTATCTTTACAATTATTATTCTAATTACTATTATCGTTACAACATTATTATATTTACTATATTCATCGATCAATATTAATTATTAACAATCATAAATAACGAAACCTAGTCGTCACCTATATTATTTACAAAGCACCGCCATCTAGTGGCAGGGTGATGTATTTAATTACACTGTTTTAACGGCCTGCCATAGTTGTAGGGACGGTGTCGGTAGATGGGGCCGCTAACACTCGGCCATCCTGTCACGGCCGTGTCTCACGGCGCTCAGGAAATTTGTTGTTTGAAGAAACGGCAATGTCCGGAATCTGTAATGAGAGAAAATGCCAGAACAGTAATTTGTTTTGTACAAAGGTGTAAGATGGCAGTGGTTCATATTTAGTTCACTTAGTTTGTAAGAGACAGTAGTTAGTGAATCATTATGTATATATACGTAGAAAATCCTCACACAGATATATGTGTAGATCATCTTCACACAGCCATTATATATATGTAGGCAATCTTCACACAGTTATTATATTCTATATGTAAGCAATCTTCACACAGTTATTATACTATACTATATGTAGGCAATCTTCACACAGCTATAATACATATATGTAGACAATTTTACACAGTTAGATAAGTACATGTATGTCAGAGGAATCAGATAGATAATAGGGGTAAATGGGTTCATAGGAAAGTCCTTATCACACAGGCTGAACACAGGTTTCTTTATCTATTCTATATCACAATTAGATACATCCACACCTACTCGAACTCTTGTAAGTCACATAGACACGGTCTAGAGGCCTATACCTACTTACTACGAGTATATTATTACGTTATGCAGTGTTCAGATTAACACAGACGTCAGTCACACAGTATTCATATAAAGATTTCCTATCACACAGTTGTATAAAATAGGCGTTGTTACTACTTAGATGCGGTATCGTATGACATTATTTTGAGGCATTTATTGAAAAACGGGCAACTATAACATAACTACAATTTTAATAACAAAAACAGAACAAAATCATATATTATGTTCCTTTACTAATTTAACAACTCGAAAAGGGACACATATGGCACACGTAATCTCGTATTTTGAAAAGACAACACACTTAGGCGTATATTGAAATTAGCTTTCTAAAAGATCAATAAGATCGTCGCGATCTATTTCACGATCGCTACCAGAACTCCCGTCGTCAGACATGGTGGTCTTATATGATCTAAGAGATTCACCTCTAACAACAGCGTTAAACCTTTTATATCCTTTCATACCTTTAATACTCGATATAGTGTAATGATCTAATATGTGGTTAGCCTTAATAATTTCATATGGTCCCGTGTACATACCATTGAGTTTTCTAGGACCCCCGCATTACTGTCTCTGGCAGACCCACCTTTCCAGAGAACTAGTTGGCCTATTACATATTTCGTGCATTTTTTATGTTTTTGATCGAATCTGCTCTTCATTACAGTCATATTTCGGTCAATGCGTAATTTGGCAGATTCCCTACGAGATTGCAGGTACTGCTGTTGAGTGCTATGATCCGCGGTCGTAGTAGGTACATAGGCCGAGAGACGGGAGTTATCGTGACTAAACATGACACTAAAAGGGGTAAAAGTAGTAGTGGAATGCGGCGTATTGTTGATTCCCCACAATATGCCGGACACCACATCATCCCATGTACACTCACTCACAGCCATAGAGTTTAAGCCGTTAAGAAGAGTACGGTTTACGCGTTCGACTTGTCCATTGGAACGAGGACTGGCAATTGCATTTAATATATGCTTAAACTGATTTTCTTCTGTAAATTGTTTAAAGTATCTGCTTGTGAATGCCTTCCCTCTATCGGTAATTACTCTAACAGGATTGCCAAACTGATTTATACATACACATAACATCTTTGAAATGTTTGACAGTTTCAATTGAACTACAATTCTTTACAGGTTTAGCAAATATGAATTTTGTAAAAGAGTCAATGATTACAAGTAGGAAAGTGTTTCCACGGCGAGTTTTAACGAAAGGCCCTAAATGGTCAGCATGAAGTGTGTGCATAGGGACAGCTACTTTGTGAATTGGGTGTAATTCTGCTTCTACTCTACCAAAATTGCCTTTACCATACGCGCATTGTAAACAAGAATTTACGTATTTACGTATAAATCGTGTCATACCTGGAAACCAAAATTGAGCCTTAACTAGTTGTTCACATTTGGAGAACCCCGGATGACCTATCTCATCATGATACTTCTGCAATAGCCCATATTTAGCGAATTTTGGAATGACAAAACGTTCACCAGCCAGCGTTTTTCTATACAAAACACCGTTTTTGACAGAGTAATTAGACGTAACATCTGGATTGTCCGTGGCTTGACGAATCTGGGACAAAATAGTCTGCGTGTGTTCGTCCTGCATTTGCAAAGTCAACAGCTAATCAGAATTCTCAATCATTCTTATTTCGCATTCCTACAGGATGGACTAAGGATTTCTACTAAGGGCGGCAACGTGTCTCATACGCTCGCCAGGTCTGTATTCAATATTAAGGTCAAAATCTTGAATAGCAAGCCACCAATGAGCAATACGGGGAATTAAATCCTTCTTGACAAGCGTGGTTCTTAATGCGGCACAATCAGTAACTACTTTCACGGGAATACCAGATAAGTATACTCGAAATCGTTTCAAAGACTCTACCACGGCTAGTGTTTCAAGTTCGTAGCTGTGGTAGAATAGTTCTTCCTTGGTAGTGACTCTACTAAAATAAGCAATAGGTTTAAGAGTGCCATCATCCTGGTATTGCAACAGAATCCCGCCTAAACCCTTACTACTTGCGTCTATGTGCAATTCAGTCTTGGCATCCCTGTCGTAAATACCTAAAACGGGTCTTTCGATTAATTTTTGTTTCAAAGTTTGGAAAGCATGTTCTTGTTCTGATTCCCAGCGCCACTCAACACCCTTTTGAGTGAGTTCAGTAAGCGGTCGCGCAATTTCAGCAAATCTATGAATAAATTTCCTAAAATATGAAGCCAAGCCAATAAACTGCCGTATCTCATGAACGTTGTTTGGCCGTTTATATTGGCACACGCAATCAACTTTGGCCTGTTCCGGCTGTATAGTGCCAGCAGTGATCTCGTGCCCTAAGTAATTAGCGCTAGTCTTAAGAAAAGAGCATTTTTGTAAATTTAATTTCAAATTCGCATCTTTGAAGAATTGCAAAACACGTTTTAACAAATCTAATGAATCCCCTCATGAATCGTAACTGTAGGCAACATGATGTCATCAAGGTAAAGAACAACCAACTTAATTAATCGGAGAAGACAGTGGGCGCATTAGCAAGACCAAATGGTATTTTCATAAATTCATACTGGCCGGAAGGTGTCACAAAAGCAGTTTTACGAATAGATTTTTCACTCAAGGGCACTTGCACATAGCCTTGCGCGAGATCTAAGGTTGTAAAGAATGACTTTCCCGCCAAACGAGTAAGCTGGTCTTGTATATTACGCAACGGGAAACGTTCTTTTACAGTGCGCGCATTCAAGGCGCGATAATCAACGCACTGTCTATAGTCACCGCTCTTTTTCTTTACAAGGACTACGGGACTTGCATTATCTGACACTGATTCTCTGACAATGCCTGCATCCAACAAATACTGTACTTTCCTATTTATAATTTCGTTGTCCCTATGAGAATACCGGTATGGTTTGCAAATGACGGGGTCTTCGGTGGTAGTGTTAATGTGCATGCTTATGTGGTCGGTACATCCTAAGTCATTCGTACTTTTTGCAAAACAGTCACGGAATCGGTTCAATAATTTTAGTAACGTGTGACGGTCAGCAGTACTAATTTCACCTACGTTTAAATCACCCATAGTTATAGAATTATCGCATTCATAATTTTCAGTACACTTTTCTACTGTTAAAACAGTCGAACTTTCACAATTCACACATTCATCTATAATCTCGGCACGCGCTACTAATTTATTTGATTTCCATACAATCGCGTCGTCACCTACGTTTACAATCTTCATAAAGCATTTTCGTGAAGATAAAACGGCACCAGGTATAAAGAACGAAATACTCCCTAGCTCGAAATAGACGGGGTGTGAGAAAAATGTGTGTTCTCTTTCATTCCTATTAAAATCAACTATTACTTCAACAAAAACAGAATTATGTTTTGGCACTACAACATCACTTAACAAATAAAAAGGATATTTTGAAACAAAGTCAATCGATTGTAATTGTACGTCACTGAGAGCGTTTTTTAACTCGTGAGTGTAAACAAATGTGACAGTGTTTGCTGTAGTCATCATACTTATATTTTCTTGGTTTATTAACGATAATTAAATCTATTTCTGAAAAATTATAATCGGTTAACTCTGCAGTACCGTGCAATAATACATTATCCACAAAAACTTCAATATTTATAGTGCCTAGTGAATGTGAATATGCACCTCCGAAGCCTTTCTTCACGACGGAAGATGGGGAAACAGTAAGTTTCATTCTATGAGCACATTCAACTGCGAGTATATTTAATACACTGCCTGTGTCTATGTACGCGTGGAACGATACCCATTTAAATACACTTTCTTTTTATAAATATCCATGTAGATGTCGTAAGTAATGTGCAAAATACTACTGACCTTTGGTGTATGTTTACGCGAACGGTCCGTTGCGTACCAGCAAGTCGAGGCGTTGTGGCCAACACGCTGACATACGTCGCAGCGAAGCTGTAGTCTGCAGTCCCTTGCCTCATGTCCTGGACGCCGACATGCGTAGCATATCTTGGGGAGCATTTGGTGCTGAGGATTTGCTGTAATTGTGCCTCTTCTCCATGTAGATCTTCTTGTATTGGCCGTAGCTTCAACCCGCTTGTAATTTTCTAATGAAGACAAGTATCCATAGTACAATTTTTCCGGTTTATCGCACTGGTAGACCTTTGCATTTGCACGCAGTTCGGTTGGGAGACCTTTTATAATGCAGGAAATGGCATCTGTTTCATAAATCTTGCACTTTTTAAGAAGTGATAACTTATCGTGGAAGTATTTCGTCATGGTCTCGGTGTCGGATTTAGTTCTGGCCAACATTTCTTCCAGTCTGTCAACGTAGTCTGTAGATCGAGGAAATGCACTCTTCAAAGCTTCTTTCCAAGCGCTCCACGTCAAGTTGTAATCTTCTAAATCGTCATACCAATCACGCGCTGAGCCACGAAGACGAATTTGCATTGTGAATTGTCGATCTTGGTTACTCCAGTTGTACACGTCGCCTAATTGAATTATTTTATGGAGCCACCCAGTAACGTTGCTAGTCTTCTCATCTGGTTTAAACTTTGGTATTACTTCGGCTTCAGTAGGAGTAATTCGTCGCCTCTTGACGGGTAGGTCGCCACGTGGTTTTTCAAGAAAAAAATTTTCATCTTCTTCAGGAGGCGCACAGAACGGCTCATGATTCTTTCTTTTTCGCTGACCAAGCCCCTCAATATATGGGCCAGACATTTTTTTGGTCCAGATACCACTTCTGAAGTATTGTAGGAGTGGCGAAAATTAAGAGTCGGACGGGCAGCGTAATGGCTTTTATTCAAATAAGCGCAGACAGTGAAAAAATATTCCTACACTAAAGACAGAGCACCTCCTATATAGACAATCAAATCAACCCTTTCCCTTATACTAAACAATGTTACAATTTTACAATTATTGTTGTTACTATTATCTTTACAATTATTATTCTAATTACTATTATCGTTACAACATTATTATATTTACTATATTCATCGATCAATATTAATTATTAACAATCATAAATAACGAAACCTATATTATTTACAAAGCACCGCCATCTAGTGGCAGGGTGATGTATTTAATTACACTGTTTTAACGGCCTGCCATAGTTGTAGGGACGGTGTCGGTAGATGGGGCCGCTAACACATGATGATGATGAATGCATGATTACGCTGGAATAGGGCACGCGCACACTACAAGTATTACGAGTATATCCATGATTGTACCATGCGTATTAAATGTATATAGCTCGCTTTTAAATTTATAATAGGTGGTGATTTACTATAAAATGGCTAAAAATATTAAGACAGTATTGTAGTATTACGTTATCGTCGAACTTTCAGTATTTCATTCGGTTGTTTATGTAAACTTTTGAAGTTTTCGGTAGCTTAGTAAATAACGCAGTAATTTTCGAATTTGTTTACGTTCATTATTAATTTACTTTTCGGAGCTTTAATGGGTACTGCAGTCGAATTTTAAAATTTATCAATCAACTAATTTATTCAGTTGCATTTCAATACTTCTATTTATCTTACTATCCACGACGGTAGCGTGAGCTAATAATTATATTATCATGAAGTATTATTTAATATTCGAGTGTAGTAACCTGAAATTGTTATTGTTATTCTATTGTTTTACGATAATTCACCCGAATAGTTACAAAAATTGCCACCGAAATTAGGTAAAGTAACTCCAAAATTTACCCTAATATCAATCCGATATGCCAGCTTCATCAAGCTCAAGTTTTTGAAATTGGATTATTTAGGCAGGTAAAAGTTCTGCATTAGTCGTAAGTAACCTAGTACCTACACACATATCTGTTACATAACACGTATTTTTCATTATTTGTATACAATTTTTGTCGACAGGAGCTTGCCGCCCTCGGCGGGCAAGCTCCTGTCGACTGTCATCAACAATAGTGATAAAGAAACTCAGTCTTATAAGGCCTTTTAAAAAACCTCGACTCATTTTGAACGCCTCACGACTAGTGAGACTAAAACTCAAGACTAATTCGAGTCGAAGTCTTTTAACCCTAGGAAGCTTAAAAGACTTATAGAACTAAAACGACTGGCGCGTCATAGCCTCGGGAGTCGCGAGTCATGAGCCGTATGGCGTGATTTTATTTCTACCCACAAGACATTTATTTTACGATTGTTGTTCACAGAAGTCAGTTAATTATAACTAATTAAATAAACGTGATTATTTACTACATACTACGTCATTTTTATTTATAAACTTCGGGCTTAATAAGACATAAAATAGGTATACATTGCAAACAACTTGAGTCGTTTAAGTCAAATAAGTCGTTTCAAGTCTTTTAGTATAACGACTGAGACTTATTAATAAAAACTCGAACCTCCAGTCATAATTAATTTCGTTATTTTCGCTCCACCACAAATGACACCGAGCACTAAGGACTTATGGCCAATTAAGATAACCACCAAAGCCATCTTCAACAACACTCACGATGTAGTTTTGACAGTTTTTCATAGTTTTGCACGAAATTCTGAGTAAGTAAGTTTTTTTGCAAGTTTGCACCTATCTGGGCAGGTTTGCTGAAAGTAGGATAAAAATGAAGTCGTGTAACTGAGCAATGCTTAGCCTTGTTTAAGTGCAACCCAAATTTTTGCTTTGCATAGGTACGTCACAGTTACGAAACACGGGTTCACTCTTATTATGTCAGAAACGAAGCAATGTTCAAAGCTGTGGACTTCTACAGAAGAATGTACTCCAAAAAGACAGAAGCAGATGTTCGGCAGGTAAAGTGATGGCTACTGCATTCATTATATATTCTATATTCATGTCAAAGAATCATCCATGTCGATTTATTTTTTAGATAGTCAAGACAAAAACCGGATCCAGGGGGCCTACTATGAGCTTTTAAGTAGAGGTGGGCGCTTAAACGAAAAGCACGAAAAGTCTGCTTTTTAAAATAAGCGCTTAGACACGCTTTTCATTTTAAGCGTAAGCGTTGTTTTTAAACATAGTCTATGCGCTTAAACGTTTTTCTAAACGACTTTTTAAGCGTCAAACTAAAAAGCGTTTAATTATTTCAACGGTTAACAACTACAAAAGTTAAACAACTTATGTTTTTGAACGCTTTTAAACGCCAATGAACAAAATATTAATACAATAATGTTATGTCACAATAAAAATATGACTTCTTTTTTACAAAAAACTTACTTATCTTAATACCTTTAGTGGTCTACTCTTGCGTTTCGCTATCAACACAGCGTTGCAAGCTTTTTTTAACATAAAAGTCTATGCGCTTAAACGGTTTCTAAACGATTTTGTTAGCTTCAAACTAAAAAGCGTTTAAAAAATATTAGAATAATAACGCATAGATACAGAATAAATAAATTCTGTATCTATGCTTTAAAAAAACAAAAAAACGCTTTTTTTTTAAAAAGCATAACGTTTAAAAAAATAAACAGTTTTTCCCATCTTTACTTGTAAGCCAGCCAAGTTTCATGCAATTTACTTGACGTGGTAAAACTAAATTGCTTAAATTCGTATCATGACCAACACAAAGTTGAACGGAATGGCATGACAGGATGATGATTGATGAGATTTACTTTTTAAACGTTAATGAATGCCTCTGACTGGCTAGCTGACATCTAGCAAGAGTAAGATGGAACTACATACTGAGAGTCGTATTCTAGAACTCTACTCATTACTCAATGCCCAAGTCAAGATTGCAATTGAAACACAAGCACTGGAAATACGACCCTAATGGCAGGAACTTGAGTATGATTTCGAGCGCTTTAAACCATATTCAAGTCAGGATCTTAGTATGATTTCAAGCACTGGAAATACAACCCTAATGGAAGGAAGTCCAGTGGGCCTGATGGTATTCCTGCAGTTGTGCTCAAAACGTGCGCTCCTGAATTGACTCCGGTCTTAACGCGCCTCTTCCAACTCTCATACCGCTCAGGTGTAGTCCCGGCTTCGTGGAAGACTGCCTGTGTTCACCCTATCCTAAAAAAGGGTGATCGCTCGGACCCGTCCAACTACCGGCCAATTGCGATAACCTCCTTGCTCTCTAAGGTGATGGAGCGCGTGGTGAACAACCAGCTCCTAGATTACCTTGAGGATCGCCAGCTGATTAATGACCGCCAGTACGGCTTTCGTCGTGGTCGCGGTGCTGGTGATCTTCTTGTGTATCTCACTCACCAATGGGCAGCTGCCATTGAGCGCAGGGGGGAAGCATTGGCCGTGAGTTTGGATATAGCTAAGGCTTTCGATCGGGTCTGGCACAAGGCTCTTCTATCGAAGTTACCATCCTACGGGCTCCCAGATGGTCTTTGCACCTGGATCGCCAGTTTTTTGATCGAGCGGAGCATTAAAGTTGCGTTGGACGGTTTCTGCTCGGACTCCATGCTCATCAACGCTGGCGTTCCCCAGGGGTCAGTGCTATCGCCAACCCTGTTTATCCTGCATATCAATGATATGTTACTGACAAGTAACATTCATTGCTATGCGGATGACAGTACTGGTGATACCTTTTATACTGGCCGTGCAAATATGACCCAACAGGAAGTGGTAGAAGGAAGAGCACAACTTGTGTCTGAAATCGAGACCTCACTGGAGCAAGTCTCCGTATGGGGCCGACAAAATCTTGTCCGCTTTAACCCCACAAAGACACAAGTTTGCGCGTTCTCCGCTAAGAAAACTCCATTTGTTATAGCGCCTAAGTTCCAAGGCACTCCCCTCG